CTCTCTCTCTCTCTCTCTCTCTGTTTATCAGTCTTTCTAGCTATCTATCTCTTTGTCTCTTCTGTTTCCTTTTCAATTCCCTCTACGTTTATTGGTAATTATGATGATGATGTTACTGATGGTAATGGAGTGTGCTCTCTCTCTCTCCCTCTCTCCCTTTACCCCTTTCTCCCTCTCCCTGTCCTTCTCCCTCACACTTTTTCATCCTTTTTTCACCTCCCAACCTCCTAACCCTCTTCTTCTGTTCTTACATCCACTTACTCCTCTTTTCACTCCCCTCTTCTCCTTCTCCTCTTCTCCCTTATACCTGTTCCTCATCTTTACCCCCCCCCCTCCCCACACCGATAAGCAACCGAGTTTCACGCAACTTCTTCTTCCCCCTCCCTCCCCCTCCTCTCCTTTACCTCCCCCTCCCTCTCTCCCTTTCCCACTTTCTCCCTCTCCCTGTCCTTCTCCCTCACACTTTTTCATCCTTTTTTCACCTCCCAACCTCCTAACCCTCTTCTTCTGTTCTTACATCCACTTACTCCTCTTTTCACTCCCCTCTTCTCCTTCTCCTCTTCTCCCTTATACCTGTTCCTCTTTTTTCCCCCCCCCCCCCCCACACCGATAAGCAACCGAGTTTCACGTAACTTCTTCTTCCCCCTCCCTCCCCCTCCTCTCCTTTACCTCTCCCTCCCTCTCTTCCCTTTCCTCCCTGTCCCTCTCGCCCTTCCTCGCCCTTCCTTTTATCTTTATCCTCTCTCTCCCTCTTCCTCTCCAACTCCGAAACCAAAAGTAAAAAGATAAAACTAGCCATTTGCCACGGCCTCCCATCCAGGTTCGCCGCCCACGACGCCATCCAGCACCGCAAGCTGCTCTGGCACGGCACCAACGTGGCGGTGGTGGCGGCGATCCTGAAGGCCGGGCTCAGGATCATGCCCCACTCGGGCGGTCGAGTCGGCAGGGGCATCTACTTCGCCTCGGAACACGCCAAGAGCTCTTATTATGGTAAGTGTTTGAAGGTCGGTGGTTTAGAGTGTCTGTGGGGCAGTGGTTAGTGTATGTTATGATGGTGGTTACAGGTCTGGGTTCAGGGTGCTGTTCGTTTGTTAAAATTGTGCGAGGCCCGACCCAATGAATTTTCATAAATACGGATGAAATCAAGGCATATCTGTCTATATATCTGATAGATATACCATTTACCATCTATTTGCAGGGTTGATATGCATGTCTAGACTGATAGATATGCATTTATTTCTTTATTTATGCATGTCAAGAATACGAATATTCTTTGGGTCGGGCCTCACACAATTCTGTGAAATAGTCATTTACAAGTCAGGGGTTAGTGTGTTTACAGGGCAGAGAGTAGTAGGTGGGATAATACCTAGAGCTATTTATAGTGTTTATTGGTCGGGGTTTTTTGCGTGAGTGTATGGACGAATGTAAAAAGGAGTGTGTTTTAGAGTGCATGTGCTGACAGGAAGGGTTAGTGTGTTTTAGTGTGGTTTGTGGACGTCTGTGCGGTTGCCGATGGTCTTTGTCTTCAGTGTGTGTGTTTAGGAGAGTAAATATTTATGTCTGCTATGTCTCTTTTGTGTTGCCTATGCGCGAGCCTCCAGTGTGGATTGGAAATAACATCATCCCAACGGACATGTGAAAACCCAAGACTCTTCCAATGTTGCACCGAATGATGTCTTATCTTCTCCTGCAGTTGGCTATCATTACGGTACTTACGAAGGCGAGAGTAACGTGGGCTTCATGTTCCTGGTCGAGGTTGCTTTAGGGAAGGAGAACAACATCATGCAGGATGACTGTTCTCTGACGCAGGCTCCCAAAGGCTACGAGAGCGTGGTGGCAAGAGGAAAGACCGAACCAGGTAATCAGAGTAATGGAAAATCAATGCTAAAGAGATGTATAAAACTTCAGAGGAAGGAGCGAACCAGGTAATTAGAGTAATGAAGAGGGAATTCGGGGCTAAAGAGGTATATAAAACTTCACTGGTTGTAATGAAATGCAAGTAGTGATAAAAAATTAATGAAGAGAGTATTTGGAGTCAATAAGAAAGAGAAAGAGAAGAGACAAAAAAAAAAGATGTCTAAATAAACCATCCCTTTCGATGATACAAAATTATGCACAAAATAACAGCCCTTTAAGAATAATTCAACTTCCTCTCTCTCATTCCTCCAGACCCGAAGAAGAACAAGAAACTGGTCTTCGAAGGGAAGGACGTCATCGTACCTGTGGGGAAGCCTGTTCCTCAGAAGGAGTGGGCTCGAAGTAGCTTCTCCCAGAGCGAGTACCTTGTTTACAAAGAGAGTCAGGCGCGCATCAGATATCTCCTCAAGTTTTCGTTCAAGTAGACCATCAGTGAACATTTCTCTTCGTTAGCATTCCCGGCAAATGTATGTTTTGGGAATTAATGAACATTTTGATTTTGCATATGTGAATAAGATTTTTTTTTTATTGTTATTATTATCATGAATATTTTTATTATTATTATTATTATTATTGAGGTTGTTCTACACTACATGAAACACTTGTGTTAAGATTTTGAAAATCAGTTCAAAGTTTAAATAATAAAGGCCTTTTTTCAATGTTAGCTTTGTTGTATGTAAATTTACAATCGCATATTTTGTTTACTACATTTTACAATAAAGTATATATGTATAAAAAGGCTATATCTATGTATCACAGTGCTTTTTATTTATATTTTCAGGGAAATTATAGCACCCCAACGGCCCTGGAGTAAATATTTATAAAAAGGCCTTTAGAATACCGGTATTTGAATATGACAATTTCCAATTGAAGTTAAGAATACCACGTCTTTTCACGGTCAGTTTGTCATCTCTGCTAAGGAGGTTTTCTCGGTAGCTTTGGTTAGTTTGTCCGTTCGTTCGTTAGCAAGACAAGTACAAAAGTTATAAGCAGATTTTTTTTTATTATTATTATTATTATTATTACTAGAGGTTTGTCTTGGCCCAACTTAGATGTCATTACAGTTTGGTGGTGAACAAATCAGTTACCCCTGTTGCCTTGGCGGAGGTATGCGCGCTCTAAGAGTTTCTAGTTAATATATTGTTATTGAAAATAGGTATATATGTTGATTTGATCATAAATTTTAATCAGTGTTTACTGGAGGAATTTCCCATATTTCAAGGTACTTTTATACTGTACATGAAGTAAATATTTACTGAATCTGTATTTTTGTATGGAATATTGCAAATAAACGCCACTGGGTAACTTTGCTATGTAATTGCTTCGCTCATATTAAGAGACACATTAGAGACGTTTTCTGGTTAAGGTTCGCCAACAACTCGGCCCTTATTGGCTGTGACGCGAAGGAGCTCGACGGTGATTGGTTGCCAGATGCAAGATGCTGGTCCAGATCTCCGATTAAGGTGTCCGAAGTGTCTCTGAATATGAGCGCTTGTCTCAAGTCTCCCAGAACCCACTATCCTGCTTCTTAGAATGTGTAGCTGACAAATGTGGGTTTTGCGAGACATGGGACTATAATTTTAAGGATTGTGTGTGTGTGTGTGTGTGTGTGTGCAGGTTCCAAAAGAGGAAAGGGGGGGGGGATTATTAGCTAAGAGTGGACAAATTATATCTCCAAAGCATTGCTTCATTATGTTAGAACAGTCAGATATGAAACAGCTCAATTATAGCACATCTACAATCACCCAGTTCAGAGTTATCCAAATTCTGAGGTAATGTAGAGATGTCAGTAGAGATACTCAAAGTATGTGCACCACTAACAAGAACCTGTGTTCCTTGTAGACTAGCCAGTGCATTTTCTGATATGTAATGTACACTTGTTTGTAATTGTATGTACATTGAATAGAAGTCTGTGTTACAAACGGTTTCTTTTATCTGGAAAATTTATTCTCCTCAAATGTTGTGCAAATGTAAGAGATTTTAATTTGCATTTTTACTAAGAATAGTATTTTCCTGTATTTGGAGGTTATGGTGAAAGAATGGCTGAAGAATTTGTTTAAAGGAAATTTTAAGCCTCTTTATCATAGGCCTCGTGGTCTAGCTGCGAAAGATTTCTCCCAAAGCTAGGCCTATTTTTGTTTATTTAAATGATTATCATGATTGGTATATGTTCAAATTTTATGAGAATTGCGAGGTCTGTTTGTGTTCCTTCTAAAGGTAACCATCAAATATCACTCGCTTCTTATCCTAGGATGAAAGTTGCGGAAAATCGAAGGAAAGTTTCTTTGTAAATGAATGGCCTTCAGTATACAGTACTGTTGAAGAAGCATGAAATGACTCAGTGTCTCAAAGTTATCGTCTTTGTAGGCCTTTTTCCGTAGAAAATGCTATCGTAAAGAGAGGCTACTAGATACAGGCTTACCACTTGATACACTGTCCTCCAATACCATTATTTTCTTCTTCCAATATGTTACTAACAATTGTAAGTCTTGCAAGAAACATACCAGTAGTGACCATAATAAAGATGATAATATAATAATAATAATAATGGTCTATAATCAAAAGTATTAATCAAAGTTCAATTTGTATCTTCTAATGCTGTGCTTTGCGGGAGTGGGAAAAGAAAATGGGCGTCACAGAGTTGAGTGGCAGCTAAATACAATATGGAAAATCTACATTACTATCATAGATAACGATATAGAGTTTAAGGTTTAGAAACAACATCTTCTATATTCATAGGGCTAAGAAGAGCGAGTGTCGTAAGAGTATTTTTGTCAGAGGAAATAAAGGCTTTTGTTGCTTGTTCTTATCAGGTTAGCCAGTCAGTTCATGATGCTGTATCTACATCAATTTGTCGAGGTAAAACCACAATCTCATAATACTTTCCTTGGTTTATCCAACTTTTCCCATGTACATGTATATTGGGAAAGACTAGTTATGATTACTTACTCATCCGGCAATGTTTGGCAATTGCTGCCGAATATGTAACTTCATGTGATATCTACTTTAACATGTCATACGCAGGGAATAAAGATGAATATCCGAATTAGCCGTGTTCCATAATGTTGCCCGTTAATCAAGAAAACCTTCAGAACACTTCATGTAGCATGAAGTGGATTTGCAAATGATATTCTTTATTGTTATTTTTTCCCAAAATGTTTAGCATTTGCCATAGCTGCAATCCTTTCGATTAACTAAGAGCTAAATGCAGATTATGTTAAAAGCTTCTTTTGTTAGTAAACAAACTGGTCAGTTCAAGTAAAAAAATGTAAAATGCAGAGGTTGATGCATTATATTTGAAAAGGAGTAGCATTACCACTGTCGTCTCTCTCAATTACGCGATACATTACTCCCTCGGAAAAATAATAAGTTGTCAATACTTTTGATACACAAACATAAATTGTTCCTTGCCTTGAGAGAATTTTATTTTTAACTTTCAGTCGAGCACAGAAGGTTCCCACGATTTTGTGTGATCGCTTTTGTTGTGTTGCTCGCATCTCGGAAAGCATAAACGGAACATTTATTTTGCCAGCGGTTATAAAAGTGTGGGGTTGTCATTTCTCAAACATTAAAACTTTTCTGCATATGTTGAGAAACATCTATTCATATTCAAAGACACTTTGGACACATGTTCCAGGATCTCGACCGCTTTAGCCAATCACCATCGAGTTCTCTTGTGCTGCAGCCAATTACCGTCGAGTTTTCTTGCGCCACAGCCAATCAGCAGCGAGTTCTCTTGTGCTGCAGCCAATTACCGTCGAGTTTTCTTGCGCCACAGCCAATCACCATCGAGTTCTCTTGTGCTGCAGCCAATTACCGTCGAGTTTTCTTGCGCCACAGCCAATCACCATCGAGCTGCCTCGTGTCGCAGCCAATCACAGCCGATATGGACTCCGACCTTCACTAGAAAATGTGTCCGAAGTGTCTGAATAAATGCAGTCAGGTTCAGGATAAGGACGCAGTGTAAGCTCTAGTGTACATTACTGTATTGCTCTTAATGGCCAACATGTATAAAAGCTGGTTTAAGAAGGGTATACAAAAATTGCCTCGATAATGAAAAGGAACAAAACCCTGTATGTGGAGCTAAGGTTTGTGCGAACCAAAAGGTGAATAAATGTCGTGTGACGTGAAATTAGTAGACTGCTTTCCAATTCGTTCTGAAAAATAATGAAAAAAAAAACAAGTCAAGGAGTTCTGTCTAGGAGTTCCCATGCAGGGTAGATCTCATTTTTCAGGTCAAAGGAAATATATCTGCACTTTCCCAGTATAGAAGCACGGCCACCGGGTTTAGAGAAGAGAAGGGAGTGAGGTAGAGATGACTACAGCTTCTCATGCTCTTAACACAGAACTCTTTCCAAAGGCCCCGTCGAAGAGATCCAACAGGTACTGCAGAAAACCCGTTAGTGAGAAAGAACGGAAAAAAGGCAGATGCAGGAAGATGACTTTCTTGTTCTGCCAGGAGGGAAACCGAGAACCAAGAGACGTATGAGAGATCTCTGACATGTATTTGGCAAATATATCTACATAAGAATTTGCAAAATCTGTGGTTAGATAACTTACAAACATCTGAATTTAGATAACTAATTTGCAACATAGGAATTTACAAAATCTGAGTTTAGCTAACTCATGTGCAACCGTTTCTTCCCGTGATGCTATTCCATCTGTCCTCAGAGAAGGTGATTTAATGCTCTTTACACCATCCTAATAAGTTTCTATACGTAATGCTCTTTACACCATCCTAATAAGTTTCTAAAGTTAATACTCTTTAGACCATCCTAATAAGTTTCTAAAGTTAATGCTCTTTACACCATCCTAATAAGTTTCCGAAGTTAATTGAGAAGTCATAAATCATATCTTCTTAGCCTTCATTAGAACTCACCTGGCCTTGACACAGGTAGCGATTACACTGCCTGAAGATCACATCATTCGGTCGTCATTAGAACTAACTGAATATACTGAAACTCCTCCAGAGATTCCTACAATACTACAGTTGATCCATAAAGAATCCAGTCTGCATGTTCAAGCCACCATATCTGCACTTGCTACCTTTCCAGTAACATTGTGGGTTACTGGGAAGTTCGTGTAAGTTTTACGTGCCAATTGTACTTAAGCTGAATCAGCTGCCAATTTATCGTGTCAGAAAAGGTGTGTGTACATAGCATCTACGAAGAGGTGGTAAAAGTCCCAGAAGTCTTTGGTATGAGAAACAGCGGTGGCAAATGGCGGCTGACTAACTTTTTTTTTTAAGGAAATACCCCAAATGTAGATCGTAGAACTGTTGGTAGTCTCGTGTAGTAGGCAAGATTCATGTAGTCACAGTAGAATGAAAGAAATTGTCCATCACTCTTACCAATGGAAACTGCACAAGTGAAAGCCAAAAACCCGACAGTAAAATCTGAAAAAAAGGATTCTATGAACAGCATTTTTGAACTGAATATGCTTCACAGTTACTTGAGTGACAAGCGAGACAAAGCCAGCAGAAAACCAGTCTCTGTTGCCTTTCTCTCCAAGCTCTTGACGGGAAGCACCCCTTTCAAGCTAAAGGGAGCGACGAACCCATTCAAAGGCAAACATTAAACCAAGGAGAGGGATGATGGAGACATTTCCCTTCCCTTACCTTAGGCTTACCCATATCAATATTCAAAATTCAGATTCACTTTATTCAAATAATGACAATGGTTAATCTTTTAAAGTGAATGGTAGTTACATACTTATACGGGGTAAATAAGTCAATATCAAATTCATTTATACAAGAATTTGATAAATATTTACAAGAAACTGAGATCAAGTGTTTGGCCTTTTATGTAAATATCTGATATCGATATTTTTTATTTATTTACTTATTTCTTAATTTATTTTAGTATACAGGTTAGAAACATTTCTAATGATTATAATACTTTTAATATATTATTTTGAAAGTATTGAGGTTAGAAACATTTTTAAAACTTTTAAGCAGATGGTTCCTGATCATAGGCTCATATATTTTTATGTCTTACCCATTTCTGAACATGATATTTTGACATCCAAACAGTTAACCTGTTGTGTTGCATATTGTCTGTAGAGGTGATAGGCACTAAGGTAGATTTTTTTTTTTTTTTTTTTTTTTTTTTTTGCGTGTTTTGTTATTGAAGTACGTATATGGAACATTGCAAGATACTGGTGATACTTTTTCACGAAAGCTGCCTACGTTCTCGTGGAAAAACAATTTCTGAATCAAGGATATTCATTTCGTGATGTCTGAGTTTGTTATAAAGGATTTGTCAAAAACCTTCGATGAATCGCTTACCGAGAGTAGATTGCTTCGGTTATTGTCTTTGCTCTTCGATAAAGCTGTCTCGTGAAGAGCTTCCTTCTGGAATCCATGTTGCATTTCACGTTTTCTATTGCTTGGTTTGCTTCTGATTCCATAGGTACCTCAAGACATCACAGGGAGTAGAGAAATAGCAACTACTTTTTAATTATTCATGCTCGAGTCACATTTTCCTTTCCATAGTTCAAGACTTGGAGCTTTCTGGAAGCAGCCCACGACTTCACGGTACAAATGTGATCAAACACTCTTTGCAGGCCACTTGGCATGTTGTACCATGCAGTAATCTTTGTTGGGTGTGGACACGAAAGAGGATTACTAAATATTATAGTAGATCTTTATTACCACAGTTTCCAAAGTAAAGAAAGGGATGTGTATAATCAGGTTATAAAAAGTACTGTGATAAATTTACACTTTAATCTAACAAAAAAGTGTTATTACAGAGGTGAATGCGAAGTACAGTTTCACAAGTGATATAAAACAAACATTGACAAGTTGATAAAGCCGACGTGTACATATGTTGTGATGGTTGATTTACAACAGACAAAAACAATATTGCAAAAAACATCTTTTGTTATTCGATTGATCATCATAGTTTTCACCATAAAATTCCGTTCTAGTATATAATATACAGAGATTGACTTCGGGTCCTCATACAAAGCTGAGAAAACCTCCGTGACAGCGTGCAATGCAACATCTGTGCAATAGCTGCAAAACCGTAGTATGCTATTCTTCCGTACTGTTTCTTCATCCATAAATGTTTGCTGTGAATATGACGAAAGGACTCAATGACTAGATTAATTAAAAGAAAACTTGAGGACGTATCTGATTCGCGCCTGACTCTCTTTGTAAACAAGGTACTCGCTCTGACAGAAGCCACTTTGGGCCCACTCCTTCTGAGGAACAGGCTTCCCCACAGGTACGATGACGTCCTTCCCTTCGAAGACCAGTTTCTTGTTCTTCTTCGGGTCTGGAGGAATGAGAGAGAGGAAGTAAGTTGAATTATTCTTAAAGGGCTGTTATTTTGTGGATAATTTTGTATCGTCGAAGAGATGGACTTCCGTCGACCTCTCTTTGCGTGTAACAAGCTCTTCAACCTCAAGAGCACCTTCCAGCATGTCTTTCAATAGTTCGGCGTAACTTTAAGCACTTCATTCATTGTGCACATTATTTAATATCATTTCATTACTTGGACATTTGCAATTAGATAATTTATTTCATTTTTATTTGATCTGTTTACCAATGAATTACCTGGTTCGCGCGACCCTCTCGCCACCACGCTATCATAGCCGTTGGGGGCCTTCGTTAAGCTGCCGTCACACTGTGTGATGCTGCTTTCTCTCCCTAAAGCAACCTCGACCAGGAACATGAAGCCTACGTTACTCTCACCTTCGAAGATCCCGCAATGACTTCTGACTGGAGGAAAAAGAAGAAAAGAAACAATCCAAAGAATTATGGTAAAAAGGTATGAATTTCCACCCGTGCCAACTGATAAAAGACAGGTGCGTTATACGTAGTCTGCACTAGAGTTTCGTTCACTTTATTATAATTCACAGGCAAAACATAACAGAAAGTGATCTTCAAGAACCACGCAATGTATACTTCTAACACATATCCCTCCCCCTAAAATAATAATAATTCCGTCCCTTACACATATACCCTGATTATTCCTTGCACCTGTTTAGAAGCCCAATAAACAAGCAATCGCTATCTGACAGATCACAAGACCCTTTCACACTAAATCCTAAATTATCATTATTATTATTATCATTACTACACAAACACGTTCTCATCAAAGGTACACCAAAATGTCCCTTTCCTCTACACGCCCATCCACCCTCCCCACCCAAACCCACCTATCCCTCCGCCAACCCACCAAGCCCACCCCAAACCCAC